TCACCCCAGGCAGAATGGCTATCAATAAGAAAATAAAACACTAATAAAAATGTTTCTTTTCATGTCAAAATAATTTTGCCATAAATGTTTCATGATTATACATATGTATGTTTATACTATTTTATAGTATAAACATGCAGTGCATTATTGTGTATGATGCACAATCTTATATACTATACATTCAATATTATATATATATTATATATACACATACATATAAAATTTAGGGCAGGTATCAGTTTGCTCTCTGATAAAGTATACCACACAAAGGTGGCAGTACAAGCTGCTACAGCTTTAGTTATAAGAAATGAATTTATCTCTGCAATGTAAGACTCAAACCAAAGTACAAAAGTCACATCAAATTTGTCATCATGTTATAAATCCAAAACTCAGCTGATTTTGTTTCTTCCTAGCTACTTTATGGGCAGTTAGAATGTAGTGATTGTGAGATCATGAGGTTATGGGTTACAGGGTTAATATGACAGTGGATCATAGTATAAAAACTTAGGTTCTTATAGAGTTAAAATGAGAAAAGACACATTTTAGTCATTTGCTACTTGACGTAAGAAGACTATTAAAATAATTATCTGAAGGTAATATTTATAAACACACAAAAATAAATTCTTTACCTTCATAATGAGCTTCACCATTTAGAAAAACATTTTCACAAATAATATTTCATTTGACTTTCATAGCAATTCTGTTAAATAAAAAAGAATTCTGCTTCCCTTCTCACACAGACGGTAATGTAACTTATGTAAAGTCACACAGTCAGTAAATGAAAGACTATGACCACAAACCCTGACCTTCTAATGACAGGTGATGTGGTCTTTCTTCTGGATAGTATGGGCCACCCATATTCGTTATCACCAAAGACATAAAACCCTAAGAATAATGAACTTTCTTACTTTTCAACTTCCCTCTCTACTTCTTCCAAAAACCTGAATCCTTATTTTAGCGTCCACATCTTGGCATCCATATAGGCAATTCAAGTTTCTGCCAAGTTTTGAAATAGAAAAGCAGAGTAAACCTTTGTAGCTCCAGTTTAGGGGCTGGGTAAGAAACAGCATGCAGCTCCCCTCTAAAGCCTACGCTAAGATAATCATTCAAAAATCTCCACTCTTGTCCTTAGGAGTCTTTTGGCCATCATGATTTTATGCAAGAGACACACCAAAGCAGGAAATGTTAGAGACATAGGGTGCACCTGGGTCTGTTAGCAAAGAGCTTTTATTATCTTCTCACCATCAATAACACTCTTATCATTACCTCTGACTTTTGAACCTCGAGCTCCTGCTAGTTGTACCCAATTGGCACCCCAGGACCCCCTAACAGCCCTCATGTGCCCAAAAATAACTAGAAAACTTTGAACATTTTTAAAAGTAGGCAGAATTTACTAAGATTTTATCAGCAAAGATAGAAAGAGGTTTTATTGTTCATTACAGCAATAAATAGCCAAGTTATACAACAACAAATGTTTATTCAGTGGGGTTATATCTAATTATTTGGTGCGGCATATAAAAAAAAAAGAATACTTTTGCAAATGCATGAAGAAACTCCTACTTTCTAAAAGTGGCCAATATATAAGAAAAATAGCATTTAAAAGTGGTTGCAAATTACTAGTCTCTATAATAATGAGCAATAAAAAATTCCACTCTTACTATATAGTCCATAGAAATAAAACTGTATGACAACACAAAGAGTCATATATGAATATTCATGGCAGGATAATGGATAAATCATAATAACCTAACAGTGAAAATAACCTAATGTCCAATAACTGGTAAATGGATAAACTGTATTATATTTATACAGTGGAATATTATTCAACAATCAAAAGGAATGAAGCAATGATACACATTACAACTTGGATGAGATTTAAAAACTTTATGCTAAGTAAAAGAAGTCAATAATAAAAGTCCACATATGACCACATGGAACGCCTAGAATATAGAAATCGAGGAAGATAGAAAAGAGATTAGTGGCTGTTTGGGGCTGGAGTGAGAAGATGGGGGTGGCAGTAGCTAAAGGATACAGGGTTCTTTATGAAAATGTGCTAAACTGACTGTGGTCATGGTTGCACTTATCTGTGAATGCACTAGAAGACATTGAATTGTCTTCTAGTTGAATCATAAAGTATATCAATTATATCTCAAAAAAGCTATAATTTTTTTTTAATTCCATTTTAAAAACCCACTTAAAGTACTGTTTTAATATCACTCCTCCTCTGCTTAGAGGTTTCTAAGCACTGAGGCCCTTAAAAATATGTTTTAAATTAAATTAGCATAGGACCTGGAGAGGGAAAGAAAATATTCTTCAGTGTATGTGAGCCATTAAGAATAAGAATTTTTTTAAATGATACTGGTAGGACTAAGAAGTTCCTAGAGACAGATCTTCCCAAAGGTTACAACTATAAACTCTGGAAAAATAATAAATAAATACATTTTAAAAACAACCACTGAGAGACACTGGAGGGGGAAGAATGGCAAGTCTGGAGGGGAGTCAACCAATGAAAAAGGGAGCGGCAAAAATGGGTGTTGGGACTGTTTGCTGCCACTGGGTTGAGAGCATCCCTTCTGGATGCCTCTAGCTCCAACAGGGGCAGAGAGGATGGAAGGCAATTCTAAAGTCAACACATAAGCCAAACATCATATACAGTCACCATTCCTCTTCAGATTCCCTTAGGAAGGCAACATTTTGGAGTTCTTACATTCCTCCTTCACATGGCCAAGCCTGAACTATTGAATTTATTCAATATATACATGTACCTAAGCTGTCATTGACAAATCCCCAGTATTTGATTATCCCACAGTGCCTATAACTCACAATCCAAACCTCTACATCCAGTAGCCTCCAACTACCTGCATCAGATTCCTCCACCTTTACTTCCCATGTTGACAGATAGTACCCCAATCAACTGACTATTCAAGCCATACATCCAGGAGTCAGCCTTGACTTTTCTTCCTTCCTCACTCCCAAATCCAATCTATCTTGACTTCTGTTGATTTCAATGCATCCAATACTTTATTTGAAACTCTCATCACCTTTCATTTAGATGATAGCCAGGGAGCCTCAGATGGTCTCCCTGCCTTTATTTCTTTCTGCCTCCTATACAGTATCCAGTTATACTGTCTTTTGCAAACACAAATATGATCAGATTTCTCCTCTCTTGGAAAGATTCTCCAAGAATACCCATTACCCATAGTAATGATTTTCAAGCATTTTGTAGCAAATAAGTACAGTCCTCCCTCCATATCCAGAGGTTCAACCAGATACAGATGAAAAGCAGTTGCGGCAAAAAAGAAATTTCACCCACACTGAGCATGCACAGACTTCCTTTCTTACCACTAATCTCTAGACAATACAAATAACAGCCATTGTAGAGCATTTACTTTATTAGGTGATCTAGAGACAACTTGAAGTACGTGAGAGGATGAGTGTAGGTCATATGCAAATACTACACCATTTCCTCTAAGGCACGTAACATCTACAGAAAGTATTGGAATCAATCTCCCATGGATACCAAAGGACAACTAGATTATCGTCAAATAAATATCATGTAAGATATTAATATCTGCAAACAAACAGAAGCTTTATCTGACTGGGATTAATTTACTGTATCAGTTCCAAATGTATAACTTTTATAAACCAATTAATGAGAAAACTATGAGTAGTTTTGATGAACTAGTCGTGGAGTTAGATCACCATTATCTTGCTATTTATTTCTGCTTTATTTAATTGCTGTGATGGTTAATCTTGATTGTTCACTGATTAGACTGAGACTCACCTAGGAGATTAGCAAAGCACAATTCAGGGTGTGTCTGTGAGGGCATTTCCAGAGAGGATTAACTAAGACGGAGGACATGCCTTGAATGTCGGCAGCACCACAGAAGGAGTCAAGGGGTAAGATGAGCTGCTCTGCTCCACCTGGCTCTTCTGCTATGATTGGCTAAAGCCTCTGAAACGAGGAACCAAAACAAATCTTTCCTCTCTTAAGCTGTTTTGTTCAGGTATTTTGTCACAGTACTGACATTAACACAATTGCATACATTCAAAAAATCCCAATTCATATGATTAGCTATCAAGACAATAGTTTGTTGCTTTTTTCCCCCCCAACATTCTTTCTTTCAAACTTAGGCTATTGCTCATTTAAAGAAAATAGAAGATCCAAATATAAATAAATTAATCTATCAGCACATATAACTGTTAACACATATTGCTCATCTCTGCTTGGTTGAAATTTGATATGAGATTCTTAGAGAATATGTTTGAATCTGTTTTGTAAAATGAAAGTCAAAGCAAACATCAATGCAATCCTGGAGCTTCCTCCTCAGAACCTTGGCTCCACGAACTACAATTTGAAAAACGATGACCTAGATGGTAAAACCCAAACCTCTTACCGTGACATGTAAGATCCTGCATCATTTGGACTGCATTTTCCACCATTGTCAAATTTTCGCCCTGTGTTCTAAATCCATCTCCCTCTTTGATGGAGTTTCTAGGCAAGCACTGACCAATTCAGCCACATCCCCAGCCCTCAGTTACTATGCTTTCTTCACTCGCTGTTTTCTCTACAAATATGACCCTGGAACTACCTGGATTTTTACTAACTTACTTACAATGGTGTAAATATCAGCTCCCCATAAAGCCTTCTCTGACTGTCTCCAAATACCGTGTGTGCGTTGTCATGCATAAGGACCATGTTTCCTCTCAACTGTGAGTGCCTACGAAAGAAGAACTCATTTAACTGACCTTGAGTTTTCAGGGACTTTCAAAGTCCCTGCAACTCAGCAATCACTCCTCAAATTGTTTTTAATTAATTCATTAATTGACGTGAATAAAAATAGTCAAGTGCTGAAACTGCAGATCTGCCCAAGCTAGTCCACAGATGATCCTGTTATTGATTTGACACTTAGGTTAACTCAGTGCTGAGTAGAAATCACCTTTATAAATCATACCAATTTCAGTTTCGATTCATTTTTCTTGAATATTGGATCACCCACCAGCAAAGGACAGCAGGATCACCAGCAGCACGGTGAGAGCACAGATGCAGGGGATAAGGACCAGCAGAAGGAAGCGGAGGAGACTGGCAGTCACCCGCTTCTGAGAGCAGCCATCGCCCATGTTATTGTCATTGATTCCCAGGACCTAAAGTTAAGATGGGAAAATGGAACACGTTTTTAATACAAAGCAGCTCAATGCCTGGTATGAAATTTTAGATAACAGCTATCCCATCCATTCAGGGTAGCAGCACTCCTAACAGATTTTGCCTTGTGTAATTGAAGGAGTGAAGTGAACATAGCCACCAAGTTTCACTAATGAACAAACAACTGTATACATGTAGAGCAGATCATCTATTTCTGAAACACTTTTCAGCAGTAAATAAACTTTTAATGATATTCCAGCTTGCTTTTTGAAGCATATTTACCAGTTTGGTAGTGTTTCAAAGGGCTGTGAATTACCATGGCAAGAACTCACCCTGCCTCAGGGATGTAAGCAAAGACTGGATTGTCTAATTGTGACAAAATATTGGTGAGGAGGTGTACACAGGTGTACGCCAGATTTCATTCTTATTTGTCTTTTTAGTTCCAACCCAAATCTGCGTGAAACTGGATAAAATAAGTTTTCAGTCACTAATAACTCAGCAAGGTTAACTATTACTGACCATGTACTGAGTAACAGGCTCAACAATGAGAAACAATGTTTGTCAGTTAAATACTAGCAACTCTGAGGACCCTGCCCCAATAGCCCATCCACTGTAAAAGGAGGATGATGCACCACAGCCATGATTCACATAAGGCTCTGCTTATCAAATGCTTTAAATTGTGCTTGGTTCAATCTCTTGCCAGAAATGAAGTCTGGGAACTGTTTCTTCCAGATGGCTAGCAAAGGCAGTGGCTTTTCCAGCAGAAGATTGCATGGTACTCAGAGTGCTTTGAGTTTCTACAAGGTTCTCTTGTCGCCTTAGTTAAAGTGTAGCTCACGATTCTCTCTTGGACTTGTGACTAACTTCCTCCTCTGACAGTTTCAGAACTTGAACTGTAACCACTGTGCAAAAATCCATTGAACCTTTCTTAAGTCCTGGACTTTCTTTTAAGTTAGGTCATGTGGTTCGCAGCACCTTTTCTCAATGTCTGAAGCCAAAATTAATCTCCTTTTTCCTGTCTCCAATATAGTTCTCTCCTGATTTGTGTGTGTGTGTTCACAAAACTCCACCATTCCAAAAACCAAAGACTCCTTGCTTCCCTATCATAACTCTATAATAAATATCTAACTTAAAAAAAGAAAGAAAGCCAGGCACAGTGACTTGTGCATGTAACTCTAGCTACTCTGGAGGTAGAGAACAGAGGATCTTGATTGAAGCCCAGACTGAGTAAAAAGTTAGTTAGACTCCACCCGCCCTACACTCCCACCCCATCTCAGACACAAGTTCAGAATGATATTGCATGCCTGCCATCCCAGCTACAAGAGAAGTATAAACAGGAGAATCATGATCCAGGCATAAGCACAAAACCCTATTCAAAAAATAGTGCAAAAGGGCTGGGGCATTGCTGAAATGGTACAGCACCTGCCTAGCAAGCTCAGGGCCCTGAGTTCAAACCCCAGTCAGTACAAAAAAAAAAAAAATGACCTTTGAGAAAGAGACATAACCAAGAATTTGTTATAACAAAATGGTCCTGTAATATTATTAGGACTTCCTGGCAAGTCTGTGATCATTTTCCATGGAAATGTAAATGAGATACAGAGGCAACTTCAATGGGGTCTCCTGAATTGCAAAGCACGTGTGATAATCCAGTTCTACTTTATTCCTCCTCCATCAGAACTACTTCCAGTTCACTAACACACATTGCAGGTCCTGTTCGCTATGTAATGCAGTGACCTGTTCTGTAATTTTAAGAATTCTCTATGAGAGACATTATTTGAAAGAACTTCTGACTCTGACGTTAGCTTGAGAAGGGCTTCATTTCCTAGGTTCATGTCTTTAATGACCTATTCTCTCTGTGCCTGGCTTAATCTATCAGCCAACGTGGGATGATTCAGAGTAAGTTTACAAATTATCTTCAGGAAGATACGCCACTAACATAATATAGCATGAGATCTATAATAATGATTACAATATCAGTATTAGATAGGTGGCTTGTAAATAACACTTATCTTTTTTTATTGTTGTGCTGGGTGTGGGTACATTGTGGCATTTACATAAGTTCTTACAATATCAAATATATCATAGTTGAACTCACCACCCCCATTCCTGGAATAGTTTCAACAGGTATCATTTTTCCATTTACATACATGTGTACACAGGATTTGCACCATATTCACCCTCCCACACCCTCTCCCTATCTCCTCCACTGGAACCAACTCCTGCCCCCAATATATATACACAGGGAGTTTTCTTGTGACATTTCCATATATATATATATATATATATATATATATATATATATATTAACCTGAATTGGTTCTTCTCCTCTATTTTTCTCCTTTCTACCTTAGTCCCCTTCATATGGTAATTTTAACAGGTTTTAAAATTCTATATTCATTCTTGTATAGGAAGTACATCAACCATATTCACCTTCTTAGCTTCCATCTTTTGACCTCCCCTTAGTGTGACCTGTTTTTCATAATATTGCTTTATTTATATTAGGTCTATATTCCACATACTAGAGAAAACATGTGGCTTTTGGCTTTTATCTTTAAAAAAAAAAAAAGTATGGACAGCAGGCTAGAAATAGTGGCAGATTCAACTTTCTTCATTTATTCAAGTACTTATTGAGTGGCTACTAGTTATAAAAAGCATAGTGATGGCTATAATGATTCAATCCAACTATCCTGCCAGTGCTCACAGTCTTGTAGATAAGATAGTCACATAAATAATATAGTCCTATGTCAAGGCAGTAACTGATAAGCTCCATGAGTCTCACAGCTAAAGTGCCACAAGGGTTCAAGATAGGAATATGATTTCTTACTGGAGGGAGAGATAAGACATTACAGAGAGAATGCACTTGAACCAGCCATAATTCGGAGAAAAATACACCTGGAATGGTATGCTAGAGGAAAAAGAGTTGAAGAACACATCCAGAGAAATAAGGAATTATGAACTTCCTTGGACTCCTGTAATAATACAAGAGGCTTATTTACTAAGGTGGTCACAGGAGCATTACAGGGATAATCTCGTATGACAAACTCACAATGGCGCCTTGCTGTCTTGAATCCTGTAGCAAAGGACATCCCACTTTGTAGTGAGGAAAGAATCAATGGAGGAAAGTGCTAGAAGCTCATGGGAACATCTCATATAAATACACACCAACAAGTATCTGACTTTCAGGTACCAGACTCATGATTAGTCCACATGTTTGTACCGGGGACTAAAATACTGATTGCTTTTATAAGAGACAGGAGAAAGAAAATACTTAGAAAAAACTCAGTATTTCAGCACTTTCTTCTTAATTGGGTAACTTGTCTTCCTACATTCATGGCCACTTACAACTACTGTTGCTGCAGGCGTTGCATGGTTCAGAGGGGGTCTGAACACAGTGCAACTCAGGTTTTACTGTCAGGTGAATAATGCCAGGTGAGTTAAACTACTAGGGATGTCCTTCAGCTTCTTTTTGGTGCACTCTGAGCAAACCTCTCTCCAGTTGGCATCCCTCTTTCAGAATCATCCCCTTACATCCTTGAAACCACAGGCTGAGCTCAGGCACAGCCATCCATGGTCAGGCAGGACCCACTCATTTAACTGGCACTGCACATGTGGTCAACACCCGTCATTCTCATGTCTTGCTCTTCTTACTGGCAAAAACTTGCTTCTTGTAGCTTAAGAATCACATTTACTTTAAAAGCTGTCACATTGGTTTATATGTTATATAATGATACACCCTTCCTAACTGCAATGTTTTCTTGAGTCAGTGTAGTTCCAAAAGGAAGGCTTCTCGTCACTGTCTTCCATATTCTTAATTCTACTGTGCTTGCCTCTTGGCTTCATAATTAAAATGCTTTCATGACAGCCATCCTATGAATTTTTTGGGACCTGTTGCCCAGCGATCCCTCTAATCTTATTCCAGTCTAGTCCATCAACTCTCTCCTTTTTTCGTTTCCTTGCATCTCTACATGCAAGTATATTGGTCTTTGAACCATTGAAATATATATTGAATATATATTGAAGTATATAATGGTCTTTGAACCATTATATCAATGATATTCCTGTCAATTCCTGAACCTCCTTATTTCTCTGGATTTTTCCCTCGCCCATCTTGTAAAAACCAACACCAAACAAACACAGCAATCTTCTCTTTCTGCACCTATCACTGGACAGTGGAATGTGGCTCTAAAATCACCCAGCAGAACTACTTGATTGCTGATTTGAAACTTTCTACCACCTCAAACTACCCCTCACTCTTTTGCTGTCACACCCAGAAAAGGACCCTGCCCAATTCCACTTTACAAAGAATAAAAACTATCAAATGAAATTACCTCACTTTCTAAATCTAAATTTACACACCTGCTCTCTTTAGGCGCCTTTGTCCTCTGTTACAATAAAGAAACTGCTCATCATTTATTTAAGAATAAGCTTCCACTTTTGTTACAAACTCCATCTCCTTCTCCCTTCTCAAAAGTCTTACATTCCTCCCTTTAATCTCCCTTTTTCCCTCTCTTCTTCCCTCCCTCTTTCCTATATCACTGTCACCAGCTTTCTACCAAACTTAAAAGTTTAAATCTCTGATTATTTTTAATTAGTCCTTGAGCCTATAAACTACACCAGCCCCTGCTACATCTTCTCTCCTTTCCCACCCAAAATGCTCTAAGAATTGTTGGTATTGGCAAAACTTCCTCACTAACTGCTTCCTACTGTAGTCAGCGTGATTTAGCACCTACTTTTGTAACTACACCAAAACAACTTTTCCTGTGGTCATCAATGACCTCCATGTTGCTACACATAAGTGGCATTTTCAATCTTCCTTGTACTACATCATTTGAGAGGTCAGATTCTCAATTAGCCACTCCCTTTGTGAAGCACTTTCTTCCTTTGACTTCTCATTCTCTCCTGGCACTTAGAACAGCACCTGAATTGCCAGGAAGAGATTAACACCTTTGGAAAAAGCAGTGAATTAAATCACCTAAGCAAAAAATTCTTTTGTGCATAGTCA